TTAATTTTGAATTTCGGTTTCAAAATTCAAATTAAATCTGTCCAGTTTGTTTTTTCTCACCCAAACAGAGCCCTCCATCCGAACAGGTTTTCTACCTGTTGAAATTCAAAACCGAACCTGTTCAATCTGTACGAACAGATTTATATTTGTTTGGTACCTATTTGAACAGCCACCATTTTGCTTATATAAAGGCTACTTCCAGCAATTCATTTGATCAGTTTTTCCATCATAATTTCATCCTTCTTTCTCTGGTCTTCTCTGTGTTTCTGCATCTATTTTGCATTTAATTTTAGGAAGAAAAAGAGAGAGTTACAACAGAGTTTTTGTTCGCCAGACTTGAATTTGTGGTGATGCAAATTTAAGTGTTTGTTATTGCATCCTGGGAAGTAGATGCCGGTAAAACTCGAAGCATCGGAGCGAGTGCGAAATCTACTTTAAGGAGATTGTGTCCAACACAAGCCTCGATATTATTTTCTGTAAGCTTTTAATTCGGGAAATAATTTATATAATTATTTTTTTGAATTATTTATTTTATTGTTTTTTATTTACACAATTAATTTACAACACACCACTGTGGGTATAATAGCAAATGCATACTTTGAGGCCATGGACAACACGGCGTAAACCCTGTTTCGAAAGATTTATTCGGACTGTAGGGCGTAAGTCCTGTTTCGGAAGGCGCAAATGCATACCTTGAGGTCACGGACTGCAGGATGTAAGCCCTGTTTCGGAAAGCTTATTCAGACTGTAAAGACTTGGTCTGGTGTGCGTAAACTGATCAGGATACCCTACATAGTAAAACAAAAAAAACAACTTCAACCTTTAAAATAAAACAAAATGGCTCTTTTTAATTCTCCATTCGTAAATAAATAAAGGGTATTTTGTTAATTGTGAAATGTAGCTGCTCATAATCAATGACCAATTAGGTAGTAGTATAATTTTCCAGGAAATATTCGGACTCTCTTTTTTTTTAAATCCATTTCCTTCTTTTACACGGCCAGCTAGGTTTCCATTGTAGCTAATTTTTTTGGAAATCCTATATACTAAAATCCAAAATTTCTACCCCTCAAATAAAGTGTATATACCATAGTAGGGTTGCAAAACCAACCAACTTATTTGATCTTCATTTATGTTTAACTTGTTATGCAAATAACTCAATTTTAAATGCATTTTAAAATTCTCAAAGTTTACAAGTCAAGTTTGAAAAACTAAACTATCCAAACTCGATTAGTTAAAAAATTATTTGAGATTGACTCGTTAAAATTTTCAAGTTAGGTTCAAATAATTTATTAATCGACTTGACTCACCTTATTTGTAGTTCTAATTATAATACACGTAATTAATCATAACCAACTTTTATTTGACAATTTATTAGCGGATCACCAAAATAGATCAAAATGACCTATAATCTCACGTATAATATGCAACCAAAATAACCCATGAAGAAATCATTCCATTCTAAGTCAAATATATAGAAATGAAAAATGCTAGAGGTCCCAAATTTTTTACCAAATAAATGACCAAATGTCTCACATGAGTGTGGGGCCCACAAAATTGCGGACCCCACACCCATGTGAGACATTTGGTCATTTGTTTGGTAGAAAATTTAGGGTGTAAGACATTTGGTCATTTGTTTGGTAGAAAATTTAGTGTCCCTAGCATTACTCTATAGAAATACAGTGATATGATAATAAAAGATGTGAATTATTGTAGATTCTTTTAAGTGCATTGAGATGTCAATTTGCAGGGCTTAATAATAATAACAATAATTTATGTCTGTAAAGAAATGGGCATTTCACATGGAATTTGTTGTTGTGCCATCTTCCACGATCTTCTAAGCACTCCCCCAAATTCAATAACAACAAAAAGTATACATACAAAAAGAACAATTTTTAAAAAGGAAAGAGGACAATTAATAACATTAAATAAACATTATGATATGACGATGATATATAGAGAGATATATTGTACAGATACCAAAGCCAAGCTGCAACCTGCAGTGCAGCAGGGACTTATTAATTACTTGAAAAGAACCAGAACGAGATGCTCCCCTCCCCTCCCCTGTTTGGTTTTGACCGTTTTGGCAGTTGCAAATAAATTAATTAAGGGTCCTGTTAACATTAGTGTCATCAGAGAGAGGCAATATATATATATATATATATAGAATTTAAGATATTTTTTTACTTATTTTTTCTTAAAAAAATCAGTATTTTCAAAACCCTTCTTTTTTTTTTTTTTTTTCCTTTCTAATTTTCAAAACTAAATAATGAATAGAAAACACTTGTTAGTATTTTTCATTAATTAACTGAGCTCTTCGCATTAATGGGGTGAATGTGTTATATGAGATGATATATTAAATGTGATATATCTATCTATATCTATACTATTATAAAGTGAACACAATTTATGGTGTCATGAAGCTTTACTCTCCTCATGTGTTTATTTTTTAAAAAAAAGTTAACAAAGAGATGGGCAAGGCTTGAACCCATGACCATGGGTTTAAGTATGAGGACTCATACCACTTAAGCTAAGTACACATTATAATATTAATTTCATTATTATTTTTTTTTATTCCTACTTATTTAAATTGCACACACATTGTGTGTGCCACCCACTAGTTATTATAAAGTGAACACCCCTTATGGTATCTTGAAGCTTTTGTTTCTTAGGCTACCATGTGTCTACTTTTTTATTTGAAATAAAAGAAAAAAATTAGGTAGATGAGAGGAGTGGATTTGAACCGTAGACTTATGTCAAATGAGTAAGACTTTTACCACTTAACTAGCACACAATATATGATAAATGTTTTATTTTATTTTTATTTATTTGAATTGCACACGCATCGCGTGTGACAACCGCTAGTACTATTATAAAGTGAGCACTCCTTATAGTGTCTTCAAACCTTTGTTTCTTATGCTGTTACGTGTCTACTTTTTTATTTGAAATAAAAAAAAAATTAGATTAGATAGATGAGATGAGGGATTTGAACCTTAGACTTATGTCAAATGAATAAGACTCTTACCACTTAATTAACACACAATATATGATAAACCTTTTATTTTATTTCTATTTATTTGAATTGCACACGCATCGCGTGTGGCAACCGCTAGTATATATAAAAGTGTATCATAATTGGAATTTTTTTGTTTTATCTCCCTACATTTCCCATAATTTTAAACTTATCCCTTTTTTGTTTATATATTTTTATTTTTTAAATTTTATTGGTGAAAGTTAGTTGTTAGATTAGTACCTTAGGGGTCCATTTGTTTTGGGTTATAGGAGACGGAATTGGATTGGGATGGATGTGGGATCTACTAATATTGTGTTGGTTTGCAAAATAGGAAAGTGAATTCACAACACCTTGGGACTATGATAAGCCTCCATGGATGAGATTAGTAGTCCCAATGGGAGATGGTATTAGAAAAACAATCCATTGGGATTAGAGGGGGATTTACTATTTTGCTCTCTATTATCCTACCTAATTTATTTACTCTACTTGATTAATATGGTCTTTTCTGTATCATTTTTTTTAATTATTTCACCATTTTTTACTCCACCATTCTTTATATCAAAATAATTTAATATAAAAATATATTAGTATAATAATATTTATACCAAATAAATTATATTAAAAAAATAAAATAGTACCAAAAATATATATATATATATATATTTATGAAATATAATTTGTAATATTAAAATATGTAATGCATTTATTAGTTGGTATAAGCCCAAATTTGATAGTAATGCAATAAGGATATTTGTGAAATTTTACATGATTAATCACACTCTTATCTCTTAAAACAAACAAGAACTATTGCTAATCAACTGATTATTAGCAAACATAATTTTTCTTACTCCCCTCATTAACAGTCTCATCACTAATAATCTCACTCAACTTACCTCGAAAAACAAATGGGCTTTAGAGGAGTTGAACTCTCACCCTCTAATTACAAACACCAAAATCTTGCATTCTATTCCACTCCTAACCAAAGGGCTAACTACACAGGATACAATCCCTTGGTTTTAAACATATCCTCATTACTAACATCGGTTATCTTTTTATACCCCCACACCTTTACAAACCCTAAATTACACACCCATCTCAATCACCACCTCTGAGAAAATGGGGGTGTAAAAAGTATATTTTATGCGGTATAGAAATACCCAATAACTTATGGTGTCTCCGTAATTTGATTCCTTGAATTTCTGACATGATTATGTAACAAGAAGTGCATTGAATCTCAAAGGACGCTTCATACATAATTTTTATATACAATGAGGTGGCTCATTGGGTACCTTTTACTTCAAAACAAAATACCATTGAAAATAAATTTATTTATAATAATGATATATATCATTTTTGTAAAATTTTTTGGTATGATTTTTATATATGAATAGATTTTTTCTTTTTGAGAAGTGAGAATGCATATTCAACACAAATATTGTTAGTAAACATTAGAGTGACACAGCTGCAATGTCTAATTAATTGCTGAGAGAGTGAGAGCAGTAAAAGAAATGTACAGAAACCAATGGGTGCCAAACTTCTAAGAATCTGAAAACTACTCATCCGGAGATTTAAACAAAAAAAAAAAAAAAAAGGACAGAGACCCCCTCATGGTTGATAATTTTATAGGCAGTTGCACTCTAACACATACCTCCGTTTGGGAACTTGGTTGACTTTTTGGCTTTTCGGCTTTTTTGACTATTTTAGCCTGAGCTTAAAAGCTTGGTTTGAGAAGGGCTTTTTGGCTTTTTGACTTTTTTGAGTTTTTTTGTGAGAGAAGAATGTAATGATTATGAGTTGGATGTGATGTTTTGTTTGTTATGGCTAAAATAGCCTATTTTGTTTTTTGTGGCTAAAATAAACCCACTTGCCAAACACAGTTTTTTAAAATAAGAAAATGAGTGGAGAAGAATCCAAAGCACCCGCTTCCCACTTGCAGCCTCTTTAAATATGTGAAGCACCACCGCCACCCCCTTTGAGATTCACACACCAAACAATCATTTTCAACAAGTGGAAAGAAAGTCACACACACAACACTAACACAGCCCCACCAACATATATGGATTCATTGAAGAAGCCTAACAAGATCAGTGAGATAGTTAGGCTTCAACAGATCCTCAAGAAGTGGAAGAAGCTTGCTACCACCAACAAAACCACCACCACCATTAAGCGTACTGCTAGCAGCAGCAGTATCAGCAACAACAACAATGGTGGCAGTAAGAGCATCAAGTTTCTGAAGAAAACATTGTCATTCTCAGACTACACATCCATTAATTCGACCAATGAGGCTGTTCCTAAGGGGTTTCTGGCGGTATGCGTGGGAAAGGAGCTGAAGAGATTCATAATTCCAACAGAGTATTTGGGACACCAAGCATTCCAGATACTACTGAGAGAAGCAGAAGAGGAGTTTGGGTTCGAGCAAGAGGGAGTACTCAAGATTCCATGTGAAGTCCCTGTGTTTGAGAAGATCTTGAAGATGGTTCAACACAAGAGGCCTCAGGAGCCAGAGCAGCTGTTCTTCTTGCATTCACATTCAGGGTTTAATAATAACATGATTGACAATGAGGACGACAACATGAATTTTAGCATTACTAATGGTTGTTACAGCTCCCCCGATTGTGAGCTTACCCCACCCTCTCACCATCCTCAGTTGTGTAGATGATCATCATCATCATATATCATCCTTCCTTCTTTACATATTTTTCTTTTTTAATTTTTTGTGAAAAGGCAAACGCATCCATCATCAGGCAGAGAGAGACCAGAGGATCCAATAGTAGACTTGAATAAGACCGATTTCCTTTTTTTTTTTGTTTTTTTTTTTTTTTGTTTGGAGATCAATCAAGTATTCGAGATGTGGTGTATTTGTTCCTTCCAATATTTACTAATCCTAATTCACTTGGAAGAACTACTTTATTATATATAAACAACTTTATTATATAAACAAATTTCACATTAAATTTTCTTTTTACAGATACAAAGATAGTAAAATTCATAATGTCGTTTATGTATAACAATTTTCTTTTCTCACAAAAGTGATTCTTCATTAAGGGCTCTACTGTCAGTCTTGTTTTTTGTGATTAGTACCAGTTCTGTTTCAACCAGATTACATACCCTAAAAAAAAAAAATGCTTTTCTTTCAATATACATAGATTAAAGCATCACTCATTAGGATGACTTGACAATCTAAGCACCTCTAGTGCCATTCAAGGTGAATGTTGCAATTGCCTTGCCATTCATTTCAATTGCCGCATAGCTGCTCTCCTTTCTCACACTCTTACGAGTGGGTTAGACATATAAATTATATTTAAAACCTAAAAAGAAAAGAATACATTAATTATGTGCACTTTTATATGAAAACATAATGTATTTATAGACTAAGCTATGAAAAATTGACACACAACAACGCACGCACACCGGGGCATACGCACAACTGTACACCCCAATTGTATGTGTATGTATATGCATATTAAACTCTATATTTGAAGTACCACTTGCTGTGTACTATACCATGCATTCCTTATTCATGTTCTCTTTAATTAATTGTGTGTATTATTTAGCGTTTATTCCTTAAATGAAGGATCGCATAGATGTCCGAACTGGCCGACAGACTACCTATTTTACCGTTTGATGCACATTTCTGCACTTTGGGAATTGAATTTAATTAATTTGATCATAAAACTTGGATGCATTTATTTTTAATTTTCTCCTAATCATGTGATGGTTGGTTATGTGCTAAAGTTCAATAGACTAATACGTAGCTCATTATGGTTTAATTGTTGACATCTGACTCATCATTGAAATGCTTCATCTCTAATCATTCACACAAATCATTTTATCACATCCATCCATTACTGATCATGAAAATCAATGGAAGTTACTTAGCGCTTCGTTATAATTAACGGGTCCTACTATCGACTGTTTAAGGGTAATTCTATTTACATATCCTTACTTATCTTAGTATACATCATTTACTCAGTTTACACTATACACAAACTAAAACTTTTAATTTTGTCTCCATACACATCAATAATTTTCAGATAATACTAAACTATCCTCATCTTCTCCAACAAATCCTAACCCTAACCATTGTCGGCAACCACTGCCTCCCACCAGCGCCGTTCCCTTCTCAGCCTCTCTCAACCTCCCACGGCTGTTGCCCCTCCCCTGCCTTCTCCCCCTCCCGCTACTGCTTCCTCCTCTCCATCGCCCCCCTCAGATCGGATCTGTGAAGAACCCAGTTTATCTGATTAATAATGGACTGCCATCTGCAGTTGCCATAGCCCCTTCAACACAAACATCTTTCAGCTCAACATAATGTTTAAAACTATAGTTATCAGAACAGATGAATGTTAAGAGGTCTGCCACTGAAATAACAGATGCATATCCCATAAGAGGCTGACAATCAACAACAGTTTGTGAAGCAAAAGATGGTGGTGCTGGGAAGGGCTGGACTTGAAGAGAATGGAGGCATATCAAAGGAACACCTTCGTTTAATTGCCACAACTGGTCTCCCAATGGATATATTGGAGGACAAAAGCTCTTACCTGTTCAAAAAACAGAAGAAAGAGATGAAATTTAATAACATATATCAAGTTACGCCAGATAAATAGCCATATCTGGATTTCTATGTAATGGATGCCGGTCAAGAGGGGAGGAATACTATGAAAGTAGTGATGATCGGAAGGGAGGGAGGTGACTTCTGGTGGTCGGAAATGGCAAAAGTTAGGGTTGAATTGGGAGGTTGGGAGGGACGGAGAAAGGGAGAGGTGTGTTGGTCCTCTCCATCGCCCCCCTCAGATCGGATCTGTGAAGAACCCAGTTTATCTGATTAATAATGGACTGCCATCTGCAGTTGCCATAGCCCCTTCAACACAAACATCTTTCAGCTCAACATAATGTTTAAAACTATAGTTATCAGAACAGATGAATGTTAAGAGGTCTGCCACTGAAATAACAGATGCATATCCCATAAGAGGCTGACAATCAACAACAGTTTGTGAAGCAAAAGATGGTGGTGCTGGGAAGGGCTGGACTTGAAGAGAATGGAGGCATATCAAAGGAACACCTTCATTTAATTGCCACAACTGGTCTCCCAATGGATATATTGGAGGACAAAAGCTCTTACCTGTTCAAAAAACAGAAGAAAGAGATGAAATTTAATAACATATATCAAGTTATACCAGATTAATAGCCATATCTGGATTTCTATGTAATGGATGCCGGCCAAGAGGGGAGGAATACTATGAAAGTAGTGATGATCGGAAGGGAGGGAGGTGACTTCTGGTGGTCGGAAATGGCAAAAGTTAGGGTTGAGTTGGGAGGTCGGGAGGGACGGAGAAAGGGAGAGGTGTGTTGGTTATTTGATTGAAGGATAGAAATGTAATTAAAAAATTTTAAAAAAAAGATGTACACTGAGTTAATCAAGTGTGTGAAAATAGAATTTCCCACTGTTTAATGGTTGTTCCTTAAAAATTCACAAAATGTTCTGTTAAAAAAAAAAAAAAAAAAAAATCACAAAATGTCAAAAGAAGTTTGGGAAGAAATCATTTACAAAATTAAACGCAATATTCTCACATGAGGTAGGTCTTACTTTTTTTGTGAGTTTAATAAATATATAAAAAGAGTATGTCTGATTCTGTGATTAGTTTATGTGCAAATAAAAAAAATGATGCGAAATAATTATAATTATAATATATCTTTCACGTATTCTCATATACTTTTGTGGTTTTTTTATAAACATTTCACATATTTTATATATTTTTTATACACATACCAACATTAATCACCACCCAACAAATGTTAACAAAAAGTACGTAATTTCTACTTTGGTTCATATATAGGCTAGAATAATTGATGTTTAATGTTATATCACGAATGTCATATTTATCATATTTTGTCGGGTAATATTACAATATACCCCTTCAAAAACAAATGTATCATATGTAAGTTATGACATGTTATAGTGTTGATACCACAAAGTGTCATAACCAAATCACTTTATATGTTATAACTTAACAAATCATAACAAAACAACTTTGAGACATATCCAACTTTCAGATATAACCAAAGACTATGTGTTGCAATAACTTTGGTGGACATCAAACGCTACATACTTTTCTACTCTTAGTTATCAAAATCATTTTTAATTAATTAAATTTTCTGTAAAAGATTCTAAACAGTTCCTTAAACTAATTAAGGACCTAAAAACAGAGCTTTGTTGAAGTTGAATTTCCCAAATTTTTTTATTACAGTGAAAAAATTGATTCAATTAATACTCCGACTTTGCCATATGCCTATGCACACACACACATTGGGTGATGTATGGCAGAGCTTGAGTTATTAACTTTTGATGAATAATACTACATACTCGGGAAAAAAAAATCTCTGAAAATTATTCAGAATTTATAACGTATAGATCATATTCATTCTAATTGTAGCTCACAACACATCAAATTTAAATATACACCATACACTCACGTTCTGAGTAAATTTCAAAAAAAAAAAAAATCTATAGGTTTCTTCAAAGTTGTATGGTTTTTGATGGGTTTTTTTTGTGAGTGGGTTGGTGCATTGCCAGGCACCTTGTCAATATGACCTCAAAATCATCCTCCTCACAATTAGGAATACTCAATCCACCATCATGTTGGTACCCAAATTCCTCAGCTGCCTTCTCCATCAACTCCATAAATTCAGGCATGGACAAGTAGCATGCCGGGATCACGTACCTCTGTAGCTCCGGCCCCACGTATACTGCCAAATATCCTCTTGGGACTTGCACCACCGCTTTCCCTTTACCATCTGACAGCAATGATTCACCGCCAATCAACAACTCCTTACCATCACCATCAGCGGAGTAATACTCTGGATGATCAGAAGGATTAAGATTGGGCTTGTTAATCGGTCTGCTTCTGCTGCCTACATTAATCAAATTTAAAACTTTGGGTTTGCAATTGTGATGCATGAGGGGAACCCAACATAACCTTCTCAGAATGCAATTTCGCCGGATTATGGACCCAACCAAACTCTTCTTCGTCCTGCTCCTCCTTGTATCCATCATCATCATCATAATTATTGCTATATATATATTTATTATGGCATTTCAATTAATCCGAAACCTCTTATTACCACTATTATATGTTGCCATCACAAAAACACTAGGGAGTACTATATGCTATTATTCATTGGATTGAGGAAAGATCCATCATCTTTCATGGATTACCCAATGAAGCAACCCTAATAATATTAAATTCACAACCATATATACTGTCTATACATTTATAAAAAAATAAATAACGCAATGTATAATTATTAAACATTATAAAGCATATATATGATTTATGAAGATTGCGTTGATCACTGAATTATAAGCTGGGCATTGGCAATTGATAAAATGACAAGTGATGTATATATACTTCATATATGTAATGTGTACGTACGTATATACCAGTATTGATCGATTATGAACATAATGTAAATATTGTTTTCTTCAAAAAAATTGGAAATTTTACACCAGTAAAAAATGGATTATTAGCATTTGAAATGCATTCAAAACAAGATAAATCCATTAAAAAAAGAAAAAGACACTCCTGTTGTATCTCTGGCAAGAAGTAAGAGTACAAAAAAAATGTTCATGCTTTGTTTTTGATGCATTTGAAGGGCTCAGAGGGCTGCCTTTTTTCCTTTTTCTTTTTTTTGGGTGTGTGTATGTGTTCCACTAATTTTGCTTTGCTAAAAAATTAATTTGGGGGGTTTAGAATAATATGGAATCAATTTCAATGGTTGTGTGTGTATTTCAGATGCAGAGAGACCACCAAAATAAGAAGAAAACAAGCTGTTGCATGGTGGGCAAATCTCCTTCTAAATTTGGAAGCTGATACTGGTTTGTTTTAGCACTGCTACGTACGTAACAACTACTCTAAGTTTGGCGGTGCCATCAATTTCATATTGACAGCCACTAAATAAGGTGAATTGTTACTTTGGTTTGAATTTTATTGTCATGCCACTTTTGTAGTTCCTCATTTATGGGAACATCACATAACTAATATCATGACAACATACTCTGGAATGAACTAATTTTTGCCTAGGATTGTATGGTTTAGTTCAGCCTCATGGGACACCATAAGCTCCATTTCAATGTTCCAATCGTTAATTTTCTATGCTATCAAGTCTAAATCATCTATGAAAAAATTAAAATAATTTGATAATCGTAGTCACTTAATTTAATTAATAAATTTTTTCATATATTTTTTTGTGTGTATGTGTGCACGCACATGGGTAGGTGATTTTCACACTAAAACTTAAAAGATTAATAAATCAAATTATCAAATAAGATATGTGGTGCACAGGGTCCAATCTACACAAGCCCAGTCCCTTAGGAATTACATAATAAATTAAAAAGGGTTAGAAATTTCAAATATTTTATTAATATTTTTATCAAATATTTCACATAAGTGTAGAACTTATACCATGTAAATTTTATGTGAATCCTACACCAAAATAAGATATTTAATAAAAATATTAATAAAATATTTAGAATTCCTAATATTACCCTAAGAAATTTTCATTCGTGGATTTTTGTTTGCCGTTAATAACGGCTACAGTTTTGGGCATCGGAAATGTCTCAAACCGTATACTATTTTATTTATTTTTCTAGGCATTAATGGAAATGAATGAACGAATTGGGGGGTGGGGCAAGTCAAAGTGCAATGCATGAAGGTGCAATTGTCACCACGGATTAAAAAGGGTTAGAAATTTCAAATATTTTATTAATATTTTTATCAAATATTTCACATAAGTGTAGAACTTATACCATGTAAATTTTATGTGAATCCTACACCAAAATAAGATATTTAATAAAAATATTAATAAAATATTTAGAATCCCTAATATTACTCTAAGAAATTTTCATTTGTGGATTTTTGTTTGCCGTTAATAACGGCTACAGTTTTGGGCATTGGAAATGTCTCAAACCGTATACTATTTTATTTATTTTTCTAGGCATTAATGGAAATGAATGAACGAATTGGGGGGTGGGGCAAGTCAAAGTGCAATGCATGAAGGTGCAATTGTTACCACGGACTTCCCCGTATGTCGCATTTATTTTTTGAAAAAGGTTATAAGTTTTAAATTTTTTATTAAATAAATTATTAAATGTCTCACATGGGGTTCATAAAATTTCAAATCTCTGAGACATTTGATCGTTTATTTGATATTCTTAGCATTACCCTTATTTTTGGATTTTGTTAATAAATATCCTAAAAGCAATTGCTAAGAATGTAATGAATGTTATTAACTAACCCTATTACTATAGAAAATAGAGAGTTATAAATGTACAACACAAAAATATAAGTTTTTCTGATAAGATCAAATTAACCTTTTATGTATTTCTTTTTCTTTTATCTTTTATCTTCTTTTTTTTATCTTTTCATTTTCTGATATTCTTTCACCAATTAATATATTAGATAAATATTTAGCAAAAATGTAAAATACACCAACAATATTCTTTTGGGGGATGCACCAATAAATCCCAAATTAATAACTTATGCACTGTTTAGTCCTAAAAGTTTTCTTATAGACTGAAAGGTCCCATTACAATGTTAATAACATCAGATACAATGTTAATAACATCAGAGTCATGTTACAAACATTGGATTTCAAACATCTAATGTTCATCAAATTTCAATAATGTTTGAAAATATAGGATGAAAAACATCTAATGTTCATTAGATTTCAATAAATTTTGAAATTATAGAATGAAACATCAGATCATTTACATCATTCACATCATGTTGATGTAAAAATGGGACTAAATGGAGCATAAGAAAACTTTTAGGACTAAATGGTTCAACGTTTCAAAAAGACTTATGGGTAAATTTCCTATTCTTTTTAGCCATATTCAATTAAATTTGCCCCTTAATGAAGTAGTAAAAAACAAGGCACATGATAAAATGTTAAAGAGTCATAAGAAAAAAATTTATACGTGAGCTCTTTAGATATTTAAATATTATTTATAATTTTTGAATTTTTGATTTTTTATCTAAAATTAATATTTATTGCTTTTATGATGAACAAAATGTCATAAAAAAGGGAATATTAATGCATTTTTTTACATATTTAAATATATATATATATATTTATATACAAATTTTTTTATACATTTTAACAGTGTTTTTACACATTTATATTAATATTTAATTTTTAAGTATGTAAAAAAAATGAATTAATATTCTAATATTATTGGTGTATTTCACCATTTGCTAAATATTTATCTAATATATTAATTCATGAAAGAATATCCGGGTAGGAAATGAAAAGATTAAAAAAAATGAAGAGCATAAAAGATACAATAGAAAGAAATACATAAAAGGGTAATTTGGTCTTATCAGAAAAAATCTATGTTTTTGTGTTTGTACATTTATAAATTTTGAGTGCTGCTATTAGCACCTGTCAAAATTCTTTAGACCTCCCATTTTATAATTTTTTTTATTACAATTATACTTTAAAGTAAAATTACATTAAAAGACATTATTAAATGGAACACCTATTAATAAGAACTAATACTCTATAATATTGGACCCCCACCCGCACCTCTAACTCCAACTATACGTATTCCATGTTTGTAAACCCTAAACCTATTACTTTTCATAACCAACTAACATAAACCCTAAATCTATTCAGTGTGTTTGGTTTGAGTTTTCTGGATTAAGTTTTTTGAAAATTGAGTTTTTTGATTTTCGTGTTTTTTTGTTTTTAGTGAATATTTTTTAAATTTTAAACATTTTTTTTACTTTTTTAGATGCACCTTACTTAGATGTGTCTAAAAAGTAAAAAAAATTGTGAAAAAATATTTTAAAAAATAAAGAAATACATAAAAATACAAAAAATGTACTAAATTCTTGTATTTTTTTGTATTTTTGGTATTTAGTGAACTTTTAAAAAAAAAATTACAATTTTTTTACTTTTTAAGTGTATTTATGTTAGGTGTGTCTAAAAAGTAAAAAATTTGCATAAAATATTTAAAAAATTCAGTAAAAACAAAAAAACACGGAAAATAAGAGTGTAGAATTTTCTGAAAACTGTTTTAAAAAATGGGAACCTATTTTTCATAATCACCTTAAATCCTAAATGTGTCATCTTCATTACCATCATCAACGCTATTGAACTTGAAAGTTTTGCTTCAAGTATAACGTATACTTCATCACTTATTTCACTGTGTAGATATAGCGATCCCGGTTATCCCTTTACTGTTCTGTTGTTTTCCGGACGCGGTTCCATGGAGTTGGTGGTTGAACCAATCGTGTTGTCAACCTTTAAGCTCTTTTGTTTGAGTTTTAGAATATGTTGGGCTTGGTTGTATCCGGTTGGTAGAGCTTCAGCTCCCATTGTTGTTGCCCAGTTTTTGGACAGTCCGCTCGAACGGGTCTTATTGCGCTCGAGCGGGGTTTTCACAGTTTCAGTATTTCGTGCCTCTGCAAAACTTCTGCAGATGTGTTTTCTACGCTCGAGCTAGTTTCTTGTGCTCGAGCGGGTCACGCTCGAGCGGACTTGTTAGTGCTCGAGCGGTTGGTACTTTTTGGTGTAAGTTCTGGGAGGGAGAAATCTACGCTCGAGCGGACTGGTTTTCACGCTCGAGCGGATATGCTTTATTCTTGTGTCTTGGAGCTCGAGCGGGACTTTTTGCGCTCGAGCGGACTTAGTTTTTGTTCTTGACGCTCGAGCATCCTATTATCCGCTCGAGCGGGAATGTCATATATCAGTTAGCAGCTGGGCGTTTTAAATTCACTTTTTACATCCTTTCTCTCTCTTACTTTTCCAAAAAGCCATTTTGAGAGCTCCTCTCACTAAAACCCTAACTTTTCTCTTAGGATTGATCTAGTAGGAGTTGTTTTCTCACCTTGGGCCTTTACAAAAGTTAGGTTGATCATCGAGGGCTATCATTTGATCTGAAAATATTGAGCTTTGGAGCACATTGAGTTTCTTCGTCTTCTCCGTTGAGAGCCATCTTTTGAGGTAGGGATATCCTACTCCTCTTTATGAATTTTGTCTTTAAATTTTAGTATTTTGATATGTTGGGTGTTGTTGGGTAGATTCAAGAAAGTTTGGGCCTTTTGTGTAATTGTACAAAAGTTGGGGTTTTGTTTGAAATAAACCTATATGCTAGTTTGGTGTAAAAATAAGTTGGATGACGGGTTGTGGATGAAAATGGAACCTTAGAGTTGTTTTGTTAATTAAGGTAATTTGCCCTAATTGTTTTAATTAATTAATGCCTATAATTAATTAAAGGAAATGAGGAATTGAATTGGAAATGTTGAAATTGGGAATGTATGAGACTAAAGGGTGTAGTTAGATCATTTATTGCTCACCTAATTGAAATGTTGATATATTATCCATTTGTGCATTTATTTCCTGTTTAGAAATAATTGCTTTGGGCTACCGGTGGAGGGTAGCATTGATTGTTGTAGACAATGCATGATGATTAGGCAAACTAAAACTAATCAATTGGATGTGTCATAGAGTATGACGGTTGATAGAATACATTAACCTTATGTATTGATTGATTGTGTATATGACCAATGTGTTTATATGCATTAAGTGTAGACGGTTGATAGAATACATTAACTTTATGTATTGATAGATTGCATATATGATTCTGTGTTTACATGCATTGCTTGTGTATGGGAGGAGATGGGGGATGTACTCCACGGTTTAGGGGAAGATGGGGGATGTACCTTTAAACCGGTTAATGGTTAAGGGAAGATGGGGGATGGACCCAGGGTTGCAGCTCATATGCTCTCCCACT